AAATGGGAGTCTTTCTTGTACAGATTTACATTTCAAATTCATATGCGTTTAATCTGAAATATTCTGTGTCGTAGAATAAGATTTGAGAAAAAAAAAGAAATGGTCTGTGTATAAAGTAGTTTTGTAGCATTCCCAGTTTGTTTCACATTTGAAATTCATCTTCTAGCTTTGTTTTATTGTTCTCTGGATATAGAAGTCTTCAAAATTTAGGTCACTTGGCATTTGAAAGATGGATAACTTTTGAGCTCATAATGTATTGTAGCAGTTACTATCATGTGCCAAGGAGAAGAACCAAGTGACATGCCTTGGGGTGTCATTTAGTACTATGTAAAAAAGATGGCCAAGTGACAAATCTAACAGTTGGTAAGCCATTAGGGTATTACTTTTCTAAATTAAGCTCACATACCATTTAAAGCAGGAAATAATGTCTCCAGTACTAGTGTTTCTTAATAGCTTGCTGTGGACAAACATATTAGCTTTGTTTCTCTGTAGACATAAAAAATAGTGTATATATTAGCTACAGAGGTTTCTCCTTACACTGTGCTCCACCGTGTTGGCTGCTGAATATTTGATATATTAATACATATTTATATTCTGGAGTTTGGGCAGTGATTGTAAAGTCAGGCAGATTTAGTGCCTAAAATAGTTTATGGCCTCAGAGAAAAGTGTCAGTATAAAAATAATCATTTTGTCTTAGTTTCTTACAGTATTATTATTTTTTTCAATGTGGAATTAAACCTGAAATAAAATAAGAAAAACAATCACAATATGTTTGATATTATATCCTACCTATTCTGAATTTCTATGTTAATAACAGAAGACCAGGGATGCACAGATTTTGGACTTGGGAAATATATTTTGCAATACTTCTCTATTACCCTATAGATAAATATAACAAGATGTAACTGAGACTATCACAATGAATATTCACTGCTGCATATCCCGAAGTGGCAACTTTTAGTTTAAAAGCCATCATAGTTGTATGTAGTTTAATTCTTTTTCTCGTGACTTTTTAAAGTTTTTGAGATGGTGCTTCATTTTGCCAAGTAGACTGAAATATATTTTTCTACATACATAATGTATATGGATATACAGAATCATTTGGGACTCTCTCCTTCAATGGTGAGGACTGAAAATATTTAAAAGATGATATCCAGTGTAAGTATGATAACAAAGCTGTCTGGAGCTTGTACTAATATTCACTTGCCTGTATACTCCATCTTTCTCTGACTACTAGCCAAGGAACTGAAGTTGTCCTGTTAATCAGCCTTGCAGACTCAAATACACTTCTGTGCAGTCTGGAGAGAAAGAATGAGCACTTTTAGGATTATCCTTCTGCATTCTCAGTAGATAGTTATAGTAAAATTGTGATGCTCAAGGCAAGTTATCTCCCAAAAGCAAATAGGGACTGACTAATTGGTGCTGAATTAGAGAGATCTAATCATATGCAAGAGAAAAAGAATGAAAACTATTACAGTAGTAAGTCCTACCTGCAGTGGTCTCATGCAACACATTCTGAACTGGTTTAAGCCTCAGTTTCAACTGCACTAAGTTATTTGGGTCAGTTTAAACTCAGGATGCCCTGGAGACAATCATGACTCTTGATGGAAATAGTTATGAAAAATTGAACTATTTGACTATAAGTAGAAAATATGTTCCCTGTTAAATCACTCTGTCACCCCAGGCAAGAATGTTATTCTCCCAGTTTTTTCCTGTGACCTTCTCCTTTCCCCTTTACCTGTTTACTCCAAGGGCAGTTCTATCTCTAGTTTACCACATTTAATAGCTACCTTGATATCTACCAGTTGTATTGCAGGAGGTAGAAATTACAGAGTCCATTTGCCTTTTTCCCTTTTTCCCTTTTGGGCTTAGGTTTTTACTAAGCCTAGAGGGGCCAAGCAGATACTGAATATTTATTATTTTTCACATATGACCCCACCCAAAATACATAGGAAGAGAGACAAACACCCCTTGCATAATACCTGTTCTTTGACATAGACCCACTATCACAGTAGGAGTAGAAGTGCTCTGCCATATGCGCATTGTCTGTGATCCTGGAAGGAACACGTGCCAGTGGCAGTTTTATTTATTTACTATGTATATTCACTTCATTGTGTAATTTATGCAGCCTCAAAGTCAACATGGAACAAGATATAGGAATTCCTAGAGATCTTTATAAATAGTCAGTGGGGACTGAAGACCAAAGGATGTATTGATTCTTCAGGCATTGTATAATTGGCACAATTAGAGAGAAACAGTACACTCTTCCAAGACTATTTTATTAACTGTAGTTTTACGTAATTTAGAAATGGTTACAAGTTCACCTCCCAGCCCTCTCACTTCAAACAGTAGGTGTTGAGTACCACACGTAAAACACTCTTTAATCTATTGATACTGATCAGCGTAGCCACAGTGTCATTATTTATATTATTAAACATTCAAATATTATTAATGTAAAACTGTATGAAAATGGTTCAATAAATACTGTATGCAGTTTGATAGTTGAATTATTGATACAAAGACTTAGACTGGTTAATATTCTTAATTATGATGATAGGAGCCCAGGTCTAGGAGACAAATTTGCCTTTCACAAGGTCTGATGAACAAAAGGAAGTTCCATTTTACACACACAACTTAGAGCTGCACAAATAAATAATTCATTCTAATAAACCTGTGTTGAAACTCTAACTTTCATAAAATGCAGAAGAGAACTTTGAGCCTTGTCACAATACAATAGCTATATATCTAATAGCTAACAGCACAGTAATATCTTGTTTCATGTCTTTTCATCTTAAACTATCATTTTTTTAAAGGATATTAATTATTCCATTGTGAGTGCAGAATGAAAACATTTACAGGGTTGCTCCTGTGCATCACTTAAAATGCTGAGGTTAGCTACAGCTGTTGTGGCTATGAGATACCGTCAAGATCAGTTTTGACTGGATATAGAAGGGCAAATTCAGATATCAAAAGCATTACTGAGAGGGACAGTCAAGCTACTCAAACCTGTTACAACAGTGCACGGAGAATCTGCTTTACTATGTAAAGAACTGCACACAGATATATATACACATATAGTCAATAAGATATTTCATCTGAAAACCACTTAATTATAAATGGTAGGATACATTTTTTCTCATTTCTAAGTGCATATTATTTCACATTAATTTTTGAAAGGTGATTTTTCTGCACAGTTATACTGAATAAAGGAACACAAGCATTTAGTTTTCCTATTTCTGGATTAAAAACAAGAAAGACATGAAAAGACTCTGTCAACTAAACAGAGTTTTAACTGTGAATGTTTCCATGCTTTCAATCAAACATTTATTTTACAAACATCAGCATGGTTCCATACATCATGAAGACATCTACTGCCAAGTGTTTCCCCTTTCATAGGTACTTGGAAGAAAGTTTATTTCTTGTGTCAGCAAGAGGAAATACTTGAAAAATTGAAACACTCTCAACTATGTTCTCAAAGTTCTGTAAATATATGTCTTTTTCTTTTTCTTTCCTTTTTTTTTTTTACTAAATCCAATGTTTAATATTCTTATTATATTATAAAAGTACTTATAATCCCAGTGCCAGCAGTGGAATATTACTGTCTACCTCCAAAGGATTTACAGAATATAGAATGAAAGTTAATGTTTAACATTTTTGCATCTCAATATTGATCTGTCTACTGGACCACAGTATAGACTTTACATTTCAGTTTTACTTTTTCACCATGTATACTGGTATTTCAACAAGAAGCTACCTACTCTAGGTGGAATCCCTTTCGCTTATGTCCAATGTTCTAAAAGTTATATGTTCATCATAAGCTGGTAACCTAAGTTATGTTCATCATAAGCTGGTAAATTTTTGTGTGGGATAGGAACACTTCTGAGGAATGATTCCTCCCGTTCCTATGTGGTGAAACTGAGCAATATATTGGATGTAAATCCTCTCCAAGTGACCAAAATCTTTTTGATGTAAAACATTTTTTCCAAAGTCTCATTATATAACAGGATGACTACAGACAGAATCTGTACAAAAGACTTATAGAAAGATCGTGCATTCTTAGATGAGTAAAAATAAACAAAATGAACACCATAAAGGTCGAGCTCTGAAACCTTTATAGAAATACTTCTACTAACTTTGATTTGTGTTTACTTCATAGAGTGCCATAATTCTACTGGTAACATTTCTAATTGTTTCTAATACCCTGTAATAAAAATGAAATGTGTATTTTTGGAAGGGAAAAAACAAAAGCAGTCATTATCAGCCTATAATATGAGTCTGATATTTTATTGCTTAGTCTGACATTTTATTGCTTAGATCTACATAAATCAAAAAGTTCTAATACTTAAGAATTTGAAAAATAAATGAAATACAACGAAATGCAACGAAATACAATGAAATACAATGAAATAAATAAGGGAATCTTATTTTGAGAATGAGATAGCAAGACACTCATATTTCCCTCATTAGAATTTCAGTTATGGTGATTCAGAAATAGACAACATGTACAAATAATCAGCAGAGACCTGATTGCTGATTGCTTGGATGACTAAGTTCCCTGTAGGGTCTGTCCTAAATAGGTATTCCTCAGTCTGTGAAGTTAACCACACACTTCAGAGATATTTTCCTTTTGGAACTATGACTTAGTGCAAGCATTTTTACTTAGGCTAACTAAAGCATAAACCTGATGTCTAAAACTGCACACAAGCCTAGATGCCAGATATGACACTTGAACCCTGTACTAACCATGCACATCAGTTTAAAAAGATAAACACTCATATGGTATCCATATGAGTATCATATGCTTATAATATGATTAGTTGCCTCTTAAAAAAAAAAAAAGTTACCTTTGCTACTGCATTACCTTAATGTTTAATTGTTAATTAACTAGTAAAATTCAAATTCAATGAAAATATCTTTCAAATGAAGAGTCCTCCACTTGTGTTATTTCTGTTACTATGCTTATTGTTTCATACATTATTTTCCCTTTCTTTTCTCCACAGGAAATGATCTGTTTCTAGTTGCTGTGCATGAACTGGGACATGCTCTGGGCTTGGAGCATTCTAATGATCCCACAGCAATCATGGCTCCATTTTACCAGTATATGGAAACTGATAACTTCAAACTACCTAATGATGATTTACAGGGCATTCAGAAGATATATGGTATGTCATATTTTAATTAGGAAACAATGTTTTCACTTAAGAATAAGTTTGACAACCTCCTGTCCACATCACCTCTCTAAAATAATTTGTTGGGGTAGGCTCTGCCACTTGTTATCCCAAATGCCTTCTTGTGATAATGCCAAAAATTCTGATGAAGTTCTTTTACTTGTTTTCTCACTGTTCACAACTTGCATTCAAATTTGCACTCAGCTGGAATGGTAATCTTAAATGTTTTAAAAGGCCATAAAGAAAATATCTGCAAAGAGATCCCAATCTATTAAAATATTAAGATATGCAGGCTTTAACCATAATGAGCTTATTTCCACAGTACTCGAAGCTAATATAACTGTATGAATTGATTGCTGCTTGGTTATCAGTTTATCAGTTATAATACTGAACAGTTCCCTGGGTAGATCAATTTTGTGGTCCCTGAAAGCCCTTTTTTTTTGTGATAAATATAGCTAATTGATCTCAAAAGAATGTGATTATGAGTCCAAGACTTTGAGCTACACAGGGGAAAAAAAGACCCACTTTTTAAAATAGTTTTTTTTTTTTTACATCTAGCGAATGTAAATTCTGTATGTATTTGAGAATGCAAGGTAACTGAAATTTTAAAACCAAAACACAACATAGCCCTGTATGTTAGGAAGTATTTTGCTTTTCTAGAGCTGAGCAATGGTGATAACAGATTTGAGTGTTTATAAGAATAAAGGGGAGGGCCGATGAGGCAAATGTCATGGTGAGATTCTACTAAGAACCACCCAACCAGGCTGAAGTAGCAGGCAAAATATTCTATATGTGGCAGTTGGGAGAACTCTCACAATCGCTAGCCCTTGTTCTCATGGGGGACTTCGTCTTACCAGATGTCCGCTGAAAATACAACACAGTGGAGAGGAAACTGTCTAGCAAGCTTCTACAGTGTGTGGAAGATAATTTCCTGACACATCTGGTGAGTGAGTCAGCTAAGGACAGCGCCCCTTGGGATCTTTTGCTTGTTACCAAAGAAGGACCTGTGAGTGATGTGAAGGTTGCAGGCCATCTTGGGCATAGAGATCATGAATAAATAGACTTTTTGATTCTTAGAAAAGTAAGCAGGGGGTTAGCAGAACTACCACCCTGGACTTCTAGAGAGCAGACTTTGGCCTGTTAGGGAGACTGGTTGGTGGAGTCCCTTGGGAGACAGTCCTGAAGGGCAAAGGAGTCCAGGAAGGCTGGACACCCTTCAGGATTGAAATCTTAAAAGATTTAATTCCTGAAATATATATATATATATCTCACATGCCAAAAGACAAGTCAGGGTGGAAGACCAGCCTGGCTGAACAGAGAGCTATGGCTAGAACTCAGGAAGAAAAAGAGGGTTTATGATCTTTGGAAACTCAACTTGAGTTCAATCTGGCTACTGCTGTTAAAGACAATTAAAATGCTTTTATAAATACATAAACAAGAAAAAAAAGGACTAAGGAGAATCACCATCCTTTATTGGATATGGGGGAAACACAGTGACAAAAGATGAGGTAAAGGCTGATGTACTTAATGCCTTCTTTGTCTCATTCTTTAGCAGCAAGACCAGTTGTTCACCAGGTTCCCAGTTCCCTGAGTTGGCAGATAAGGATGGTGAGCAGAATAAATCCTTCATAATCCATGAGGAAATTTTTAGTGACCTGCTCAACTTGGATGTATAGATATATGCAAGTCTGTGGGGCCAAATGGAATCCACCCATGGGTACTGAAGGACTCGGTGGAAGTGCTCGCCAAGGTGCTTTCCATCATTTATCAAGAGTCCTGGCTATCAGGGGAGGTCCCAGTTGACTGCCAGCTAGCAAATGTGATTCCCATTCACAAAAAGAGCCAGAAGGAGGATCCAGAAAACTACAGGCCTGTCAGTCTGACCTTGGAGCTGGGGAAGCTCATGGAGCAGATTATTCTGAATGCCATCACATAGCACTTACAGGGCAACCGGGTGATCAGGTCCAGTCAGCGTGGGTTTATGAAGGGCAGGTCCTGTTTGATGAACCTGATCTCCTCCTACAAGGTGATAGACTCAGTGGATAAGGGAAAGGCTGTGGATGTGGTCTACCTAGACTTCTGTAAGGCTTTTGACACTGTTTCCCAGTATTCTTCTGACCCTGGCTGCTCACAGCTTGGATGTGTGTACGCTTTGTGAGGTTAAAAGCTGTCTGAGTGGCTGAGCTCAGGGTTGTGATGAATGGAGTTAAATCCAGCTGGAAGTCAGTCATTAGTGCTGGCCCCCAGGGCTCAGTACCAGGGCCACTTCTGTTCAATATCTTTACCAATGATCTGGACAAGGGGATTGAGTTCACCTTAAGTTTACAGATAACACCAAGTTAGGCGTAAGTGTTGATCTGCTTAAGGGTAGGAAGGTTCTGTGGAGGGATCTGGATAGGATGGACTAATGGGCCGAGGCCAGCTCTATGAAGTTCAACAAGGCTAAGTGTCCGGTCCTGAACATGGGGCACAACAATCCCATGCGAAAATACAGGCTGGGAGAAGAGTGTCTGGAAAGCTACCTGGCTGAAAGGGACCTGGAGGTATTGGTCAATAGCCATCTGAGTATGAGCCAGCAGTGTGCTCAGGTGACCAAGAAGGCCAACGGCATCCTGGCTTGTATCAGAATCTGTGTGAGCAGCAGGACTAGGGAAGTGATTGTCCCCCTGTACTCAGCTCTAATGAGGCCACACCTTGAATATTGTGTTCAGTTTTGGGCCCCTCACTACAAGATGGACATAGAGGTGCTGGAGCATGACCACAGAAGGGCTATGAAGCTGGTGAAGGGCTTAGAGAACAAGTCTTATGAGGAGCAGCTGAGGGACCTGGGGTTATTTAGCTTAGAGAAAAGGACACTCAGGGGAGACCTTATTGCACCCCACCTTAAAGGAGGCTATAGTGAGGTGGTATCAGTCCCTTCTCCCAAGCACTAAGTGATAAAATAAGAGGAAATGGCTTTAAGTTGTGCCAGGGGAGGTTTAAGTTGTATATTAGGAAAAATTTCTTCACTGACAAGGTTGTGAAGTATTGGAACAGGCTGCCTGGGGAAGTATTTGAATCACCATCCCTGGAGGTCTTGAAAAAGAGTGTAGATGTAGTGCTTAGTGACAGGGTTTAATGGTGGGATTGGCAGTGTTATGTTAAAGGTTGGACTAGTTGATCTTAGAGATCGTTTCCAAACTAAATGATTCTGTGAAAACAATAACAATATTCTGCTTATAGGCTGAATCTAAGACTAACTCCCACATTATTTTTCCTTACACTTCCACAGCCATAATTTTTTTCCTGGTTTTAAAGACTGATTCTATAGCTGTTTTGTTTGTTTTGTTTATAATATATATATGTATATTTCCTACAGTGAAAAATACATGCTATTTCTATGTTAATGCCATGTATCCAGTTGTATGATTTAGAACTCCCTTGGTTAATATTCCCCAATTAATTTTGTATTAGATTTAATTTTATACTTACAGTTATTTTCAGTTTAGAGGTTTAACTATCAGGGTTAAATTGAATATTATCAGGGCCATTCCTTGCATATCATTACTACTACAAATGACACCTATATTGATGTAGAATTACCATACTGCTAATTAGAACTCTGCTGCCATTATGATATATTTTATATTAACAAGCTTTTTAAACATATTGTATTAGTAAGCACTGATATATATTTTCATAAAGCTTAAATAGCAATTTCAAAATGATTAGCTTACTAAGCTTTTTTTTTTTTCTTTTTTTTCCCTGTGTGATTAGCTAGAAGGAAGGTTGTTTCTCATGGTCTCATAACTTGGTAGTCTAGACTTGAGAGCTAGACAACAATACATTGCCAAAAACTAACCACTAAGCTCTAACAGCTGTGGGCTATACGTTAGGAGAAATGTGTTACCCCTGGGATGTAATATCTGACATCACCAGCAAATGACATATGAAAACTTTGGTTTGGGGTTAAAATCATTCCAACATGAGCTACTGCAAACTGATTCCTTTCCTCGTTTAAAATCAAGAGGTGATCGGGAATCATACGCCTCAATAAAAATGTCACGCCTATTAAAATAATTACTTTGGTCTGCAATATTCCTCAGAACACCATTATTAACTGTAAATTATAAATGTCACAAACCTTAAAACTGTGAATGAAATAAATGCCCTATTAAATTGTATGACAACTATTTGGGGAGTTTACCATTTCCTTACATAGTCTATATTTTTCTTTAAAAAGTATGCTTATTTTGAACAAGTATCAGAAATTCAAATGGCATTTATGAAGTTTTAAGGTTGTCTTACTATTAAAATGTCTTTCTGAAGTTGCTCATGAAAAATATGTTAGTTTTTTTAACTCAAAATTGATTTTGTATTTAAATGATTTGGAGAGATGATCCAAATTTAAATTTTCATTTGTTTCCAGAAATATTACTGATTCAACTGAAACTTGCAATATTGCTGTACATGGAAAATATAAGTAAATGTACTAGTTGGAAGGGACTTTAAAGCTCATTTAATACTAACCTCCCTGTCATCGGCAGGGACACCACCCACTAGATTGTGTTGCCCAGGGCCGCATACAACCTGGCCTTGAACACTTCCAGGGATGGGGCATCCATAGCTCCTCTGGGCAACCTGTTCCAGTCCCTCATAATGAAGGATTTCTTCCTTATAACTAATCTAAATCTCCCCCTTTTATTTTAAAAATGTTTCCCTTCTTTCTATCACTATCTGCTTGGGTAAAAAGTCACTTTCCATCTTTTGTATAAGCACTCTTTAACTACTGAAAGGCCACAATGACATCTCCTTGCAGTCTTCTCTTTTCCAGGCTGAATGCACCCAGCTTTTTTCATAGGAGAGGTGCTCCAGCCCTCTAATCATCTTTGTGGTCCTCCTCTGGACACACTCGAACAGGTCCATGTCTTCCTTATGCTGCAGGCCCTTGCTGAGGGTACCACTGTCTATGTCTGTTCCACTGTCTACGTTATTGATAAAGATATTAAACAGCACCAGTCCCAAGACAGATTGCTGAGGGACACCACTCATTACAGGTCTCTACCTGGACATAGTTCCATTGACTATAACTCTCTAGCTGTAGACATCTGGCCAATTCCTTATCTACTGAATACTCCAACCTTCAAATCCATATTTCTCCAATTTAGAAACAAAGATGTCATGTCACAAGTCCCAGAAGCCCAAGTAGATGACATGGGTTGGTCTTCTCTTGTTGACTGATGCAGTCACTCCATCACTGAATGTCGCCAGACAGGTCAGGCACAATTTGTCCATGGTGAAGCTGTGCTGACTGTCCTGAATCACTGCCTTGTCTTGTATGTGACTTGACATTGCTTCCAGGAGGATCTGTTCTATGATCCTCCCAGGCACAGGGGTGGGGCTCATCAGTCTGTAGTTCCCCTGGTCTTCATTTCTACCCTTTTTAATAATGGGAGAGATATTTCCTTTTTCCCAGTCACTAGGGACTTTTCCAGGACTTTTCAAATATGATGGAGAGAGGCTTGGCAACTACATCAGACAGCTCCCTCAGGACCCTGGAATGTATGACATTGGGTCCTATAGACTTCTGTCATCAGTTTCATTAGGTGGTCTTGAACCTCTTCTTCACTTACAGTGGAAGGGACTTTACTCCCCCAGATCCTGTCCAGAGATTCAGAGAATTAGAATCATAAAGTCATAGAATGTCTCACGTTGGAAGGGACCTTAAAGATCATCTAACTCCAACCCCCTGCCATAGGAAGGGATGCCACTTGACAGATGTGGAAATACTGACAGTGAAGGCTGAGCCAATGAAGTTGCTGAGTAGCCTTCTCCATGTCTGTTGTTACCAGTTCTCCCTTCTTATTTATCAGAGGAGATAAACTCTCCTTGGCATTTATTTTCTGACCTTTTCTGTACCTACAGAATCCCTCTTGTTATTCTTTGCATCCCTTGCCAAGTTCAGTTCCATCTGTGCCTTGCCTTTCTTGATCCCATCCTTGCATATCCTGAATGAAATATATATAAATATAAATATATGAAAAGCATCTCTCTAGGAAGGCCATTCAACTTTCAGATAGAGAACTTGTGGGTGGGATAGTTATTTTACCTTTCATCTGTAATATACCTGTATATTATGACAGAAAATGTATGTACAAGAATAAAACTTTTTTTAAAACATTATACAGAGTTTTAGTTATTCCTTTTCAATACATTTATCCTCAGAAATTCTTTTAATTACCAAGTATATAGCTTTGTTAAACTCACCAAAAAATAAAAATTAAATAAATAAAGAAAGAAAAAATAAAACATAATTAATTTAAGAATTTTGAAGAAAAATGCAAAGTATTATTATTATATATATTTTTTAAATGTGGATGCATAGGATTTGAAGTCCAGTTTTAAGACCGTCTATACGTAGCAAAGGGAAGTGTGGAAAGGTACAAACATGTTCTGAATAAGATAGTACTTTGCCTAAAAATTGGGTCAGTAGAAATTACCACACATGTCATACCATGCATATGCAAATTGATAGGCGGAAGTTAAAAAGATGGTTTATAAACCCATTGACTGATGATAGTCTTATTAGGAAAAGTTTTGTTTGTTTATTCCCTTTATTTTATGCAAGAGACAATGATTCTTTCTGAACATTTCTTATTCAGTTGGTAAAGTATACGTAATGAATAAATCCTTTGAAGGTTTTATTGGATTGTTGTTCCAATAAAGAAGAAAGATCCTGAACAGAGAAAAATAATTATTTTCTTCATTAGTGCTTTGGTTCTGTGATATTCCTTCATTATACCCTTTAGCAACATGAGAAAGGCTGATTAGGTCACTTTTTCCATTCTCCACCCGCTGTACGATTTGCACTGCTTACAGCAGGGTTTCTTTGTACTTCTTCTTGAAATGTCACTGATAGCCATGTAAATTATCCCTTGCTACTATTTTTAAAGGTCCACCTGACAGGATCCCACCACCAACAAGACCTCTGCCAACAGTGCCCCCACATCGTTCGATCCCTCCAGCAGACCCACGGAAGAATGACAGACAACCTAAACCTCCCCGGCCACCCACTGGTGACAAACCTTCCTATCCTGGGGCCAAACCTAACATCTGTGATGGGAACTTCAACACTCTGGCTATTCTTCGCCGGGAAATGTTTGTTTTCAAGGTAGGAGGTTGTGAATTTTTCAATGCTACATCAAATGTCTACATTTCTACTTTTTTTTTTTTTTTAAGCAAACTCTCATTCATCATGACTCCACTTTCCCAGCCCTCTCACAGTTAGAAAGTTCAAGAAAGAAATTAAAAAATAAACATACACATAGCTTGAATATCTAGCAAGGGACTGCTGTAATGTTCTATTTGGGGAAAATACTCATGTCAGCAGAAACTCTAATGCCTCAAAATGCAAGGGTAAATAAATGCTGCAGGTTATGGAGAAATAAAAAAGCATAAATCAGCTGATGAGTAGAAGCTAGTAAGAATAACTTTGCTGGGAATACAGCTACATTCAGACATACAGTAGATATAGTGTGTCTTAATTTTATTTATTATTTATTTATTGCCCAGCACTATAATTCTAACTTTATGATTAGATCTGTCATTTACAATGGATGTGTGACATTGTGTTGTGGTTGCATTAAACCCACAACATCTCAGTAAAGGTCTTTGTCACAAAAATACAAAAATCTTATTGCAAATGGGTTGCTGTTTATTTCCAGTCATCTTGCTCTAAGCTGATAAATGTAGTATATGTGACAAACTGAATTAATCAAACTGATTTGAAAGGCAGTCTTTTGATAGAGGGACTTTGCTAAAGCTCACGGACATCAAAACTATCTTAGGAAGTATAGTTTCCAAAAGACATTGAATGTTGAAAAATAATTACAAAATCTTCATTATTCAGTGTCTTAAATCTTAAGACAATTTGCTGACAGGTATTGCTGTGTTCTAGAAACATGAAAGAGGATAATCTATTATTTTGAACTATTGCTGTGTCAAATGTGCTTCAGCAATAGGAAGCGTGAGATCTTTGTTTTGTGAATATATGATATGATTCAACATTATACCTAGGGCCTTTCACATGAATGGATAGTCCTTTTTCCTTCAGCAATATCACAATTACACATGAATTTGTCCTAAAGCATGAAGCTCCCAATTCAATATTTTTTTTTTTTGGTTCTTTCTTTTTGTTGTTCTTTCTGGTGGGACCATTTCCCCCTTAACATGTTTTCTTTTTATGTACTTTATTGCTCCAGATAAATCTCTTTAGCAGTACTACTTAGACCTTCACTTTCTGTAGCATAATTTAGAAAAAATATTTACCAATAGCTTTACATTATTTCATCGCAATCATTGATGTGTAACCAATTATTGATGAATAACTTCACAACCCAATTATTGATGAGAAACTTCATAACCCAATGAGCAAAAAAAATATTTTTTCCCAGGAACAGCTAAATATTTTGTCATCCCTGAGGCTGTCAGCCCTTTTCATTTGAATAGATGGTACATCTTCAAACTCTGGGAGGTCTTGAACTATCAGTCTTTTTATGACTAAAACTCAAAGGTTAAAGAAGAATCTAATTTTCTAACTTGACATTAAACAGGATATTAAAATATCTACTTCAATCTCATATCATCCACCTCAAGAGCAATAAAACATTCTCTCATTTATTTTAGACATAAATCGATAAATAGTGAAATGCTATCCCACTAATACAAAATTTCCTGTCTAGCCAAGTCAGTGTTCCTGGATTGACCACCATTACTGATCACTCTTTACTATTCTGTTTGAAAAGAAAAACTGTGTTTTCTTGGAAAGTTGTTTGCTGCTTATTGCCTTAAAACTACATACATGTGAAACGCTACATATTTACTATATGGCTTATATACTTTCTAGTGTGTGTTTATGTTCTAAAACTAAAATTTTATTCCTGATGTCCCCACTCTAATGAAGAAACATAGTCAAATGTTATCAGAAAAAAAACAACCAGTAACAGACTGTTTACAGGTGCTATGTCTAGAGTTTAGAATTACAAAATTCAGTTGCTTCAATCTTAAAAGCAAGATGTTGTAAGGCAAGAAAAAGATGACAGTTGTCTGGATGAATTTCTTTAAGGATCCCACAGTTCTCATTTTCTCTTCAGAGTACCTGGCAGCATAGAAAGAGATAACTTGGGTTAGCACACTAAACAATGGAATTTAGTTAAGTATACAACTCCTGTTTTTGTGGTCTATGTGTCATTGAATCCTTGGGTTATTAAGCCATTCTGAACATTCTGGTTCAGAAATTAAGTTGTTAACAACTTTTGTCTACTAAGACAGTCTCATTACCTGGTTGTGATTCTCTCTCTCTCTCTCTTTCGTGTGTGTGTATATGTGCATGGGGAGGGGCATGAAAGAATCAGGAAAGAGGAGAAGGAATTAGAGAAGTCAGAAAGTCAGGGGTTGTTATTTTTCTACTTTCCTTTGCAGAATGTCAGTGGCAGAGGGCAGGTTACAAGTGAAAGCTTAGCACATCAGACTGTAGCAGGAGCAGGGCAAGAATTCATTCTCAAAAGGTATAAACTGGAATAAGGAATGAATTCAAGGAGAGCATCCAGCAATGGAGGAAATGAAGCAGGGGGTTCTGTTGTCTGACACAACTGAAAAAGGCAATCGCCTTACTCCTGCCCCTTAATGCTAGTACAAAGAAAGCCTGGGAAGGCATGAGCAACAGGCTGAGAACCAGATACAGGGAGGTGGAGAAAAGAGGGAATTGATGTCAGTACTGTACCAGGTGGAAACAATTAAAGAAGAATTATGACCTTCATTGGAAGAATTATTGCTGGATAGTTCCCAGATGAGTTAAAATTAATCAAGTTGGAGGCTAATCAAATGATATCCTTTGCTTTCTTTCTCTTTATCCACAGGTCTGTGACGACTGTGTAGTAGCAAATTTTACTGCCTTCTGAATAGCATGTGTGCTGTGTACCAATTTCAAAACAAAAATATATAATATTTTTATCTCATGGGCCAGTTTCAAGATCAGATACTCAATTTGTTTAAATAATCCTTGAAATTGCTTGGGAGCTTAGCCACAGAGTTGAAGAATGCAAGCCCTTTTGAATAATTAAATTCTAATTTAAGCATAAAACCGAAGCACAAAAGATAGCAGTTTGAGTTTGAGATACACTGTGGATTTTCATAGTAGATGACAATATTAATTTCAAGAAGATTGCTTCTGCTGGCTGTTTAGCTATTAGGTATGCTTAAGTGTATCAGAATATTAGAGGCAATTGCTGTGTTCTGTCAAATTGATGAGCTTTGTTTGTGGTTTTAAGAATATTCGGTATTCTCAAATGGCTGGTACCAGAGTTAAACTGAGTAACAGTAAACTTAAAGGGAAAATGGAATCTACATTTTTCCTTTTTTATTGTTTTCCATCAGTTTGACAAAATAGCAGTCCTAGCAACACTCGATAAAATTTGTGTGGTTTAAGAAATGAAATAAAGAAGAATTTACTTTGTTCTTAAAGTAACATGACTGGTAAATACAGAAGTAAAGCAATCAACCTGTTAAAGATTCACCAAGGATCAGCAAATAAAATTAGAATTTTGCAGGTGAATTATTTTGGTAGAAATTACTAGATTTTATGGGGAAAAAATATTTTGCAACAAATATATATGGATTAATGCTATATAAATGTATTCCCAAAAGAATTTTTCCTGAATTAATTAAATTAGGTGTCCTTAAAATGTCACGGCTAGCTATATGGCATGGAGATGTAGTATGATAAAAAAAATAATAATTAAAAAAAGAAAAAGGAAATTATTTTAAGTATTGGCTTCAGTTTTCATCAAATGATATTTGAAAATGTATGAAGTTTGTCTTAATTGAATGTAGTTTTAAAATTATTGTTATTATTTATAAATGTGCTTGAACTGGTAGAAGCAACCATCAGGACAAGACTTTCTATGCCAAAATTCATGAGTGCCAAGCATTTATCCTGAGGTTCCTGTTAGCTTCTGCATTTATGCTGAATGCAATTAGTATTAGCTGTCACTCTCATTTCCAGTATTTTCTCCAGCTGTTTTCTCCCTCTGTTTAGTTAGGACTCTCCAGGGACATAGAAAATGCTGAAAAATTGAGGAAAAAAAATATAAATTGGTCCTCCTTTTCTGGAAAAATTGTGCTAAGTTTCCACTGTCAGCCTGCCTGCTTTTAATGGAAAATCTCCTCAGCCACTGTATACAGTAGTATGTTATATTTGACAATCCTGTCTTCTTAAAGTCTCCTGGAAGTACCTCTAGGGTCCTCAGTGAAAAGGATCCCCATCTTCTAAGGTCACCAGATAAGATCCATTAGTGAAGATGTTTACAACATGCTTTTCCAATTTCCGTAGGGAAAAAAAAAAAAAAAAAAGAAAAGGGAAAAAAAAAAAAAAAAGAGAGAGAGAGAGTTTTGAAGATGATATTGGATGTCCTACCCATAAAGGTACTTATGTTAATGCTTTCTGAATACTTTGTACTGTTAATTAAAAAAAAATAAAAATGAAGTTTTCAAGGGGTTCAATGGTACACAGAAATTACTGTCTCAGATGTACTATCTGTCAGTATGCAGACAGAGTCATACTGGTTGTTTATTGTGTGATTTTTGAGGTGTGTGTGTAGCTTGTGTTTGACTCTATATGTTGATTGTTCCTTGTCAGCAAAATTACCTCTAGCTCTGTTTCAACAACATGTGTTCCCGCTGTTACTATTTTTTCCTTTATCCTTCTTTTAAGTTTATACTGATTTTAATAAAATCTTTAGCTTTTGAACTGGGTACATCTAGAAAACACCACATGTGTGAAATTGTCCTTCAGGATCAGCACGTGAGAGAGACTGGTCACATTTCTTTGGTTTTTTGAAACAGGATTTTGCTTCGCAGAAGAACATCTCATAGAGGTTGCATTAGTACTTTCTGCTTTGCTAATGCTAACTCTTTAAGAAACAAATTAATAGATCTATTAATGGATCTATTTATGATCTATTATGGTCATATTATATGATCCATAATGTTTTTAGTAATGTTTGAAAAGTTAACTCGCTCCTTCATGAATACCAGATTTAACCATTGACATTTAATAGGATTTTTGTTGAAATGTAATGTAAGTGTAGAGAAAGAAGTGTGTCCACCATGGAA